TATTGCTAATGCATTTTCATAATAAAAATCTTTAGCCAATGCATTTTCATAAGATAAATCATTGGCCAATGCATTTTCATAATAAAAATCATTTGCCAATGCATTTTCATAATATAAATCGTTTGCTAATGCATTTTCATAATAAAAATCATTGATCAATGCATTTTTATAATAAAAATCTTTGCAAATGCATTTTCATAATAAAACTCATTTGCCAATGCATTTTCATAATAAAAATCATTTGCCAATGCATTTTCATAATAAAAATCATTTGCCAATGCAGTTTTCAATAAAAATAAAAAATCATTTTCATAATGCATTTTTTCATAATAAAAATCATTTATCAATGCATTTTCATAGTAAAAGTCATTGGCAATGCATTTTCATAATAAAAATCATAAGCCAATTCATTTTCATAATAAAAATCATTGGTCAATGCATTTTCATAGTAAAAATCATTGACAATGCATTTTCATAGTAAAAGTCATTGGCAATGCATTTTCATAATAAAAATCATTAGCCAATTCATTTTCATAATAAAAATCATTGGTCAATGCATTTTCATAGTAAAAATCATTGACAATGCATTTTCATAATAAAAATCATTGTCAATTGCATTTTCAATAATAAAAATTATTGGTCAATGCATTTTCATAATAAAAATCATTGGCAATGCATTTTCATAATAAAAATCATTTTCATAATAAAAATCATTGGCCAATACATTTTCATAATAAAAATCATTGACAACGGTTAGATTAGTTAATATAACTACATAACTACCATTTGTAGATGTCAAATGTAAGTCATGGACCCCCTCTCCGTCCGGATGATTAATATAGGGACCTCCACTAATTTATAATATCGAAGGTTTAAAATGATTTTTTAAAAATGAAAAATATTTCTTGAAGCTTTCATTTTTGCTTTAATAGAAAGCTCTAAGGATTAAAAATTTACTATTTCCAGTCAGCAAAATACTCTGGTGCCTTTCAAACAGGAATTATATTGATTCGAATCGATTTTTTTTTCCAATGTATCTGATTTGCGCCTATTTAGTCGGCTTTCATTGCAATGTAATTCACTGTATTAAAAAAATAAATCTTCCAAAAATAAAATATACTTTTCTGAAACTTTATTTGAAAAATATTAGCTGATTTAAAGTATAACTAATCTGATTTGAAACACATATTTACTTTAAGTTTAAAATAACACAGAAATGTATTTTTAAAATAAACTGTTTCTGTGTCTTTCCCCGACAGTCACCTTGTTTTACGTAATTGACGAGTTTTGACAGGTGATATCATTTTTATTGTTGTTCTACGAAGACTTTACCTGTAAAACATAATTTAAGAAAATGATGTGAGCGCATTTTTTATATGATTTTTAAATACTCAATAATATTATCCGTAATCTAATTTTAAGAATGTTGTCTTTATATTTTCTATAGTCATCGCTCTTATTTTTTGATAATGTCGTTTATGGTCGACCATAATTTCAAAACTGAGCTTGTTACATAATAGTTTATATGCATAAAAAAATTAAAAATTCTTGGTGCAAAATTATTTGTATTAAGTTTTTCAATTTTGGATTAGTAATTATAGTTTAAACTTTATAACAATATCACATAACGCTATTAAATTAATGCAGAACTTTGAAAGATGTTTTAATTTTTTTGATCATTATAATAAATTTATATAATTAAAATAAATAAATGAAAATAATTCTTGTAAAAGTTCATTATTCATCGATTTTCTTTCTTAAAAGAATAGTGTTCGTAATAAATCTTATTTATAAAAGCAATTAAATACATTTCTAATTAAATAATGTCAGTTTTATTGCATTTTTATTTTACGAAGCGGAGAAGGTTTTAATGAAATGAGTAGCAATTTGAAAAAAAAAAAAAATGTTTTTAAAATTTAATTTCTCGAAATTTCATGGAATTAAGTTGTGGGATAACATATAAAAAAAAATATTTCTTACCAAGATTTTCTAAAAAAAAATTTCTAAATAATTTTATTCATTTGTAAATAAGTCCTGAAAATTTCATTAAAATCCGACTATTATTTGATTTTTAGAAGAATTTGCCAATCAATACGTTTTTAACCGGAAAAAAAGGCTGCTAAAACGCTGATCGTATATATTAAGTCGACCGCTAACGCAAAAATCAAGATTTTTAACCAAAATTTCGAATGTGCTAGAAATGATTAAAAAAATTTAATAAAAAATACTCTGGTCTTTTTTCTTAATAACAAATATTTTGACGATAAAATTTTGCTTTTATTTATTTTGGGATCTTTTTTCATCATGCTATGAATTTTTTTTCAATATTATATTTGTGAATAGAATAGTAAACATAGGTTCAGTTTACAAATGGAAAATGACATAAAATATTTGTACCTCAATATTAAGAGGTAATTTTTGTTAAGAAAGAGGCCAATTTTTTTTATTTATTAATCCTATATATTTTTATTTATTAAACGATATTTTTTATAAAACTGTAGATGACCAGAGATTGGCAGCTGATCTATCCTCTGACATAATTCTAACAGATCCGAGTAGGGGAAAACTGGTTGATCATATTCAATGACACGAAAACGTAATGAACCTATGATCCCTCAGTAATACCCTTGCCTTGAGTGACGACTTGAACTTAAACACGATCCAGACCTCAAGTGGAATTCATACGAACGTTCCATCGCTATTCCTATTGGGGGAAAGAAATAGTTAATTAAATTTCAGTGTTTAGAGCAATGTTTATCAACATTTTTAAGCAACGGCACACCTTCGAGTAAATGAAAATATCACGGCACCCTTAGCAAAATTTTTAAAGTGTATACATGTAAATGTTATGAAACCATAGATTTAAAAATAAAATACACACACAAATATGAACCTACTTTATTTCAATGTTTCCATTTAATTATTTTCGCAGTTTATTTAGTGTGAAACGTATGCCTGGTGTTTTTTCACGATTTCTTTAATGTTTGGTCAAATGTGTGATAAGCAGACACTCATTTCTTCTTCAGTTGGGCGTAGTCTTTCTCATTTCTTATTTTTTTAAAATGTTATTTAGGGTTAAGAAGCCTAATTTACATAAATAAGAAATAGAAAATTGCAATAAACCTGATTAGGCCTTTTTAGCTAATGTGGAATATTTCTTTTATATTGTAATCCAATGCCGTCCAATGTTTTATTCTGAGCTCTTAAAAAATAAAAATACTTAAATACTTAAAAATACTCTTAAAAATGAATATTAAAACAAAGTATTTAAAATAACATAATCGAAGTATAGTGTAAAGAATTATCTGAAAATAAGTTGAATACTTTAATACTTATTCATTTCTTGAAAGATCAACGCTGTACCATTGCTACTTCCACACACAAATATATACGTATATCGTGACAATATTTGGCGGCGCACTTAAAAGGTTTGCGCGGCTCACTAGTTTTAATGTTCGTCAAAGACACTGGATATTTCTTCTCAAAATTTTATCAGAAAGAACAATACAGATGCAGAAGGGCGTATACTTGGTTTGTTTGTGTTGTTTTGTTTTGTTTTACGGTATATCAACCCAATGGATTATTTAATGCCGACAAGATTTTATTGCCGGTAATATTTTTTCTTCAATAATGTATTGCTGGTAATAATTTTTACAAAAAGTATTGCTGGTATTAAAACCCATTTTTAAACCTTTATAGTGCTTTGACCCCAGTTTGGGGGTTCAACTATTTACCCATAGCTGGAGCCCTAACTCGTTATACCACCTTGGGCTAGGGTGGACCTGGGAACACCAGCCATTAAGAGGTGGTTCCACGATCCTCAAAACTCCCTTGCTGTTGGGCGTAGTTTATCGTCTTACCCAGGACGCGGGTGTAGTTTATCGTCTTACCCAGGACGCGGATGTAGTTTGTCGTCTTACCCAGGACGCGGATGTAGTTTGTCGTCTTACCCAGGACGTGGATGTAGTTTATCGTCTTACCCAGGACGCGGATGTAGTTTGTCGTCTTACCCAGGACGCGGATGTAGTTTATCGTCTTACCCAGGACGCGGATGTAGTTTGTTGTCTTACCCAGGATGTGGATGTAGTTTGTCGTCTTACCCAGGACGTGGATGTAGGCTATCGTCTTACCCAGAACGCAGATGTAGTTTGTCGTCTTACCCAGGACGCGGATGTAGTTTGTCGTCTTATCCAGGGCGCGGATGTAGTTTGTCGTCTTATCCAGGGCGCGGATGTAGTTTGTCGTCTTACCCAGGACGTGGATGTAGGCTATCGTCTTACTCAGGACGCGGATGTAGTTTATTGTCATACCCAGGACGTGGATGTAGTTTGTCGTCTTACCCAGGACGTGGATGTAGGCTATCGTCTTACCCAGGACGCGGATGTAGTTTGTCGTCTTACCCAGGACGCGTATGTAGCTTATCGTCTTACCCAGGACGCGGATGTAGGCTATCGTCTTACCCAGGACGCGTATGTAGTTTGTCGTCTTACCCAGGACGTGGATGTAGTTTATTGTCATACCCAGTATGTGGAATCATATCATGGGATAGATAAGCAGATATATGCTGTAGTATTACGTAGAATAATCAAGAGAATGCTTGATCGATGAGACCCCGAACTACCACCAGTCAAGATGAAATGTGATGTAATGGAATAACCAGTCACTCCCCCCATGAATGATTACACTATAGATAGTCAGTACCTATAAAATCAACTGTCTACGAGAGACTGGGTGGGGAAGAGTGAGAGAGGGAGAGAGAGAGAGAGAGAGAGAGTAATGCTCTCTCTTGTTCTTCACTGTCGAACTCTTTGCCTTGAGCAGAGAGGAACCCGGATGAGGCTTTTCTGAAGGGCAAAGTTTCCTCCGGGGGGTAGACAGACCCTGAACCCGCTTATGCGGGTTCTAAGGGAATATTTTTGGCCGAGTCTACGGGCTCGGAGAACCCACGTTAAAATCGGCCTTGTGCCGCATACATCCCTCGTGGCGGGGGCTGTTAAATATTAAGAGTGAGAGAGAGTGTGTGTAGTGAGAGAGAGTAGTGAGAGAGAGAGAGAGTAGTGAGAGAGAGAGAGTGTAGTGAGAGAGAGAGTAGTGAGAGAGAGAGAGAGTAGTGAGAGAGAGAGTGTAGTGAGAGAGAGAGTAGTGAGAGAGAGAGAGCGAGAGTAGTGAGAGAGAGTGAGAGTGTAGTGAGAGAGAGAGAGTAGTGAGAGAGAGAGAGAGAGCGAGAGAGAGTAGTGAGAATACGTAAGCACGTCCGACCTTCCAATTAGTGGCACTCACTACTAGATTGATCTGTGTGTATAACTGTACTGTATTTCATGTTGTACTAGTTGTGTACAATAAATCCTTCTCCTATTATCCACCTGGTGTTAAGTATTTATTCCCTTAGCACGGAATATAAGCAAAGGATGTTCCCTCGGGGAAGCATCCTGTCTTGAGAGACTCGTGGGCTTCAAACTTGCACCTGTCCTCAACTTAAACTCGTACATACGATCCATTGCTCAGGATGCAGGTAAAATGGACGGTTCTCTCTACCGCTCCAGTAAGTACCTGGCGCCTCCTACTATCCTCTACCTTTACAAGAGCCAGATTAGGCCCCAAAACTCTGGAGTTAGGAGGGATGGAGAAAGTAACATCAATTAGCTAAGTGATAAATTTTAACAACATTAATCCCATATATATATATATATATATATATATATACTCTGTATTACATTAAGCTCTCTTTATATATTTATATATACACGAAAACGCCTGCAGGATAAGCAGTATGGGTTTCGTTCGGCCTGATCCACTGACTGTCCTAACTACCATTACTCACAGAATCATTTAGGCTCTTGACGACCATACTACGAGAACCATACTCTTGAGAACCATACCCCGAGATATCTCAAAGACCTTCGAGAAGGTGTGGCATTGTTTAACTGCACAAGCTTACTGCGCAACTTCTTCCAATGGAATCAATGAAAATGGATTCTCGATCATAAAATTCCTTTCTAACAGGTAGGTTCTGGAGCTCTAGAGGTCAACGAAGGCGTCTCTCAGTGGTCACTCCTCGGACCAAACCTCTTTCTGACCTTCATAAATGATTGTTGCCTAAAAATATACTCAGGTCATTGATAAACATCTGCCGATGATGCGACTGTATATGGGAGCACCTTTGAAACTCTCGACGGTCATAGATTGGCGGCTGATCTCTCTTCCGATCTTGCATAAACTACCCAATGGGGTAAAAACTTGTTTGTAGCATTCAATACCTCGAAACCATAGCTATCATCGCTGGTCTGACCCCGAACTACCACCAATCAGGATGAACGGAGGTCTTCCCGGGCAAGAACCGTGCATTGAATAACTGTTGGGCCTCAAGCTCACACCTGACCTCAAGTGGAACTCGTACATATGATCCAATGATAAGGATGCGGGTAAAATGGTCGACGCTCTGTAGAGCTCCAGTAAGTAACTGACTACTCTTGATATATCCTCTACCTTTACAAGAGCCAGATCAGACTAAAAATGGAGTAGCGCTGTTATATTTGGGTGTGTGCTGCCCAGACCTCAGTTTCCGACTCCTTGTGGGTAACGGACTATTCTCCACCCTCTTACGTCTCTCTCTGGTGGAATGTGGCAAGCCTTTAGCTGCTTTACCTCTACATCCACGGAAGGTTCTCGGACAAACTACATACAATGGTCCCGTCAAGACAAACCTTCACGACAAGAACACGCCATGCCACTTACATCGGAGCAATATTCCATTGGTAAGAAGTAAGTTCAGCACGGGCAGCAGATTCCCACGAACCACTGCCCTGTGGAAACGACCCCTAAAAGAATGTTTTCTCCATCACTAGAATCTTAACCTGTTCAACGCTAGGGTAACCGGTACCTTCCCCTCCTACACATACAAATGACACCCAAAGGTTACCCTTTACCTCGTCTGGCCTTGGAAAGGGTTAACCTCGTTTATAACAAAAATATGCGTATATTATATAATAGTTATATATATTTGGATAGAAAGCTTATTTCATGTACCTTTCATTGATGATTTTTCCAGCATTCTAACATTTTTCCGTTTTTCAGGGGATAAAGAAAGTAGAATTTATCCATAGTTATATTTGGTCCGAGCGCTTGAAAGACTGCTGGGCCTCAAACTTGCACCTGACCTCAACTGAAACTCGTACATATAACCCATTGCTAAGGGTGCAGGTAAAATGGTCGGCGCTCTATACCGCTCCAGTAAGTACCTGACTCCTTCTGCTATCCTCTACGTTTACAAGGGCAAAATCAGGCCAAAAATGGAGTACTGTTGTCATATTTGGGTGGGTGCTGCCCAGCCCTTATTCCCCAGCCTTCATAGAGTTCAAAAGCATTTCCGAGTCGTTGTAGATGACGAATTATTCTCCACCCTTCAACCTCTCTCCCTCAAGCGAGATGTGGCTAGCCTCTTGCTGCCCTGCTGCTACTTCTACGAAAGTGATCGGACGAACTACATTCCCTGGTCCCACCGAGGCAAACCTTCACGGTAAGGACACACCATGCCACGCCCATAGTAGCAAACCACCCACATTCCCTCCATATTCCATCGGTGAGAAGTAAGTTCCACTCGAGCAGCTTCTTGCCGCGAACCACTGCACTGTGGAACCGACTCACAAGAGGATGTTTTCCTGATCACCACAATCTTAACCTGTTTGCAGTTGGAGATTCGTCTCCAGCTGTGCTGGTCAAACTCTCTGCCTCCGGATAGGGGGATCTCCAGACGAGGCGATGTCGAAGGGCAGAGTCTCGTCTCGGGGAATCAGCTACCCGACCCCGTTTTATAAGGGGTCTACGGGGAATTTCGGCTGAGCCTACGGTCTCGGATACCCTACATTAAATTAATCCTTGTGCCACATCTGACCGCGTGGGGCGATTGGTAGATATCCCAAAATCTTAACCTGTTAAACCTGTTATCTCCCACTCTTATCCGCACAATTTACCGCCTAACGTAACCCTCTACCTTGAGTGGTCCCCGGGCCTTGTAAAAAGTGAACCTTATTGTAAAAAAAAAAAACTTTGGCTTGTTATCTACAAAGAAAAGATTTGGGAATGATATCTACATAGTAAAACATAACATATATATATATAAAATAATAGAGAAACTAAATAAAATACTTAAAAAAATCTTCTATTAATAATATTTTAACGATAAACAACACGAGTGTAGATCGCATACCAAAGTAGATTCATTACACATGTATGATAACATAAAGTGTAGATCGCATAACGAATTAGTTTCATGACACAAGCTAAAGTAGACCCCCACCTCATCCTCCAAAAAATAGGTGGCCATGCAATCACTGGAATCAAAATGGCGTCTACATTTGAAATCAGGAAAAGACTTTATACTCATCTTTTTTATATGATAGACAGAGAGATACACACGAAATCATATCTAATATCTTTTGTTTTTCAGTCGTTTTTTGTCCATATTTATCTCAGTTTCTTTGTGACTCTTTCCAGACCCCACCAGCCACTGCCTGAATTCTATTCAACAGAAAAAAAAAACCCTGCACGCTATACTCCCTCTCTGTAAACCCCTATCAGAATCCTCTCATTACGTATTCCCTTCACCTCAAGGACCCCCGACCAGCCACCGTTCCATCATTTTAGTACAAGTGGGCAGGTAATTTTGCTTAAATCAAGACAAGATGGGCCGTAAGTGTGTGGAAGAAGCAGGTATCATATCGGTAGGGTTTTATAGTGGACGATGCGGTCTGGAATGCTAGTTCGTATTTTGACAGAGGTTGAGGAGGATGGGCGGTCGGGCTCTATAGCCCAAACCCTAGGGGACAAACAAATGCAAGGAGCAGGCAACACTAAAAGTTTCCGTAGTGCAGTGCATTACAGTGGGAGTTGGGGAAAGGAAAGAAAGAAAGGCAAATTGAATGAAATCAAAGAAGAGATCGGGTGATATAGAAGGCGACTCTTTGGGAGAAAGGGAGAAGAGATAAAGTGATGAGGAAGAGAAAGAGGGGAAGGACGATAAAGAAGATAGAGAAGAGGAGGATAAACATGATAAAGAGGGGGAGAAGTAGAGAGAAAGAGAAGAACAAGAAAGAACGTAAAAGAGAAAGCGGTTTGAAGAAAGAAAAAGAAAGAGAAAGGGTTTGAAGAAAGAAAAAGAAAGAGACAGCTGTTTGAGAAAGAAAAAAAAAAAAGAAAGAAGAAAGAAAAAATGAAAAAGAAAGGGTTTGAAAGGAAAAAGAAAAGAAAGCGGTTTGAAGAAAGAAAAAAAAGAGAAAGGGTTTGAAGAAAGAAAAAGAAAGAGACAGCTGTTTGAAGAAAGAAAATGAAAGAGAAAGCGGTTTGGAGAAAGAAATGAAAAAGAAAGCAGTTTGAAGAAAGAAAATGAAAAAGAAAGCGTTTTGGAGAAGGAAAAAGAAAGAGAAAACGGTTTGAAGAAAGAAAATGAAAGAGAAAACAGTTTGCAGAAAGAAAAAGAAAAAGAAAGCGGTTTGAAGAAAGAAAAAGAAAGAGACAGCTGTTTGAAGAAAGAAAATGAAAGAGAAAACGGTTTGAAGAAAGAAAATGAAAAAAAAGCAGTTTGAAGAAAGAAAATGAAAAAGAAAGCGGTTTGGAGAAAAAAAATGAAAAAGATAGCAGTTTGAAGAAAGAAAATGAAAGAGATAGCTGTTTGAAGAAAGAAAATGAAAAACGTGAAGACATCGAAGAAAATCGGGACATGATAAATCATTTTTTAAAAAATAAATAAATATATTAGCAAAAAGTCAGGGATAATGTGTAATGATGAAAACGAATAATAAAATGGAGGAATTTCTTCAGGAAGACATGAACGAGACTATAAAGCAGTGTAAGGAAGAAGAATAAATAAAAATGAAAACGGAATAAGGATGTGAAAAAGAAAGAGAAGGAAGATATGATGTAAACATTTTGAATATGAAGAAGAAAATGTAAAGAAGGAAGTAACATTAAAAAAGTAAAAGAATGAGAAAATAAAGTACAAAATCGAAAGAGAACTAAAGAAGGAAGAAGTAAAGGAAGAAAAAGTCAATGAGTATGAAAGAGTTAGGAAAAGGAAGTGAGATCAAGCAAAAAGAAAGAGTGATGAACTATTAAGAAAGAAAGAAAGAAAGAAAGAAAAAAAAAAAGAAAAAAAAAAAAGAAAAAAAGGATGAAAGTAAAGAAAAAGGAAGAACTAAGACAGAAAGAAAGAAAGAAAGAAAGAAAAAAGAAAAAAAAAGAAAGTAAGAAAAAAGGGATGAACTATGAAAAGAAAAAAAAAGAAAAAAGAAAGAAAGATCATGGAAAAAGAAAAAAAAAAAGAAAAAATAAAGGGAAAAGGAAGGAAAGAAATGAAAGAAAGAAAGAAAGAAAGAAAAAAGAAAGGAGAAAGAAAGCAGGAAATAAATAGTGATTAACTATTAAGAAAGAAAGGAAGAGAAAAGAAAGAATGAAGAATTATTAAGAAAGAAAAAAGAAAGAAAAGAAAGAAAGAAAGAAAGAAAAGAAAAAAAAAAAAAAAGAAAAAGAAAAAACAAAAAATAAAGGGATAAAGGAAGGAGAACTAAAATGAAAGAAAGAAAGAAAGAAAGAAAGAAAGAAAGAAAGAAAGCAGGAAATAAATAGTGATTAACTATTAAGAAAGAAAGGAAGAGAGAAAGAAAGAATGAAGAATTATTAAGAAAGAAAGAAAGAAAGAAAGAAAGAAAGAAAGAAAGAAAGAAATAGTGGTTAACAATTAAGAAAGAAAGGAAGAGAGAAAGAAAGACTGAGGAATTATTAAGAAAGAAAGAAAGAAAGAAAGAAAGAAAGAAAGAAAGAAAGAAAGAAAGAAAGACCATAAAAGAAAGAAAGAAGAAACAAAAAAATAAAGGGATAAAGGAAGGAGAACTAAAATGAAAAAAGAAAGAAAGAAAGAAAGAAAGAAAGAAAGAAAGAAAGAAAGCAGGAAATAAATGGTGATTAACTATTAAGAAAGAAAGGAAGAGAGAAAGAAAGAATGAAGAATTATTAAGAAAGAAAGAAAGAAAGAAAGAAAGAAAGGAGAAACAAAAAATAAAGGAAGGAGAACTAAAATGAAAAAAAGAAAGAAAGAGTGGTGAATTATTAAAAAAAAGAAAAAGAAACAGCGATTAACTATTAAGAAAAAAAGAAAGAAAAAAGAAAAAAGACCACAAAAGGAAGAAGAAACAAAACAACTGCAGGGAAGAAGAAGACTAAAATTAAAAAAAAATAAAATAGAACGAAGAAAGAAAAAAAGAAAGGGGAAGAAAGAAAAAGAAGAAGCAAAAAGAAAAGAAAGGACGAAAAAGGAAAGGCAATAAGAAGATAGAAAGATGAAAACAAAAAGAGAACGCAAGATGAAGGAAACGAAAGAAAAAAAAAAGAAAAAAGTAACAAAATGAACAAAGAAAAGGAGACACAAGTAAAAAGGAAAAAAGAAGAAAAAATTATGGGAAAAAGAAAGGAACCAAAAAGTGGTAACGAAAGAAAACGGTGGCGGTGGGGGGGGGGGGGAGAAAGAGAAAAAAAATAATAATATGGCAGTATCGTTGAGGAGGGCGGTGTCCGACTTTCATTACCACGCAT